CGTAACTGCATATTTAGGTCGTCGTCCCTTCAGGGTTCCCAAATGATTGGAGGGGAGGAGCAGAATACCCTCGATAAACAGAGCCCAAAACCACACGATCGCTAAAATAAGGTTAATTTTATTATATTCAAAAGTATCAGGTGTCAAAATTAAAGTTTAATGATTATGTCCTTTTATAATCTGAAAACATTTGTATCTTGATTATACTAAACACTCTTATGTTTATGCATTTATTCAGAATTTACTGTGAAATTAATATTCCTTCTTTCTTGTTTGGGAAAAGGAAGGTTTCTCAACCAACCCACCCTTAAAATCCAATATGGCTGCTGCAACTTTAAAAGCGATCGGCGTGGCACAGAACGTTAATAGACACTAATCCACACCACATCCACACCAGAACGATGAGACAGACGAGACATCTGGACTTCAGGTGTGGACAGCTTCATCAGAGGCCTTTATGTGAGCCGTTTAACAGAAAATAATGTGGATGCATTTTGTGAAGTTTGATGCCACCATTAAATGCAGTAATTTAATAAAGATACATGGCAACAAAAATGCAAACAATTCTCATCCAGTGCAACAACTTTTAAGTTGTTTGTGCTGCTAAGGGTTTACATTGCTAATAGCATTAACCTGGTCACTGGTAACAGCAACTGGTGAACTCACTGGTCTTCCAAGCTGATATTTGAGCACTGATACTGATTTCAGAGGTAAATAGAACAGGGTATACAACATATAGGCCACCAGCACCTGGAGCTTCCTAAAATAGCCTATAAATAACTACTCTACAGCACTTTTCTTTGAAGTAGTTTTCAACTAGAGACCAATGTGACTCAACTTACCTTTATAGATGTTAGGGTTTATTACATCTACCTCATAATTCATCTTCATATTTATCTTGTAACCATGTGACATGGAAACTTCTCCTTAACCCAGCTCAAGTACAACCTCCGTTTTGTTGAAGGTTATCTTTTTTCAAATAAGTGAAAAAAAAAACAACCCGACGACTATCATCTATTTATTTTTTTCTGTATAAAAGAGCCCTCACTATCATATGACTGTGTATGTACTTTAAGCTCTCTACTGAACATATTGCGCAGTTTAAACCATTAGTTTACATACACTGAGTAAAAGACACTAGTTTTGACTCTGAAATTAAATCTTACAAAACTTTTTTATTTTTTAGAATTACTAAAATTATTTCTATTTGCTAAACCAAAACCTGATTGTCTCTGGGTCACAGAACCCATCTCGTTCCTGAGCGTTATTACGACTAGACACTCCCATAATGTCTGTACTTGTCAATAAATGTTTGATCAGATAAATGAGTCACTTTCAAGTATGTGGAAATTGTTCCCAAAGATGAACCAGACTTGTGCAGCTGGCATAATGGGCCAAGATATCTCTTCCTGGTGTCTTGGTTGGTTTCTATTGACTTTCCCACACTGCTTCAAACAAAACAGCAGTGTCTATCAGGTGTGCCTCAAAGCTCAACAGCTTTGAGCTTCAAACTAACTCAGGTGTGTCAGTTAATGCATCAGGGGTTTCCAAAGCCACACCATCATCATCTGGGTTTTTTGTGATCATTTTAAAAGTTTCAGGAATCATTCTTTATGTCAACTTCTGCTTTTGAAGACATAACTACATAAATCTCTAACATATTTTTGTCATGAGATGTGGCTTCGTAGGAGAACCAAAATGTAGACATGAGGTGGGGACATGGATCATATCAAGTGTTTAATGAAAAAGTAACAAATACAGGAGCAAAGTCAAAACTCAAATAATAAATCTGACAAAATCACCTAGCTAGGGTTACACAGGGAAGCACAGAGTTGAAATAAGGACCCGACGAGTTGTGGGCCAGACTGAGGAACTGAAATACTAGGGGAGTTGTGAGTATGGCCAAAAGACTGGGCTGGTGAGTTAATAGACAGCAGTCGTTGGATCAGGGATCAGGCTGAGGGGAGGCCAAAATGTGGCACAGGGAGCTGGGGAGATACACAGCGGAACACAAAAGAGTGAGGGAGGAAACACAAGGAAGTTGAAAATAATTCTAATATTAAAGAAACACTAAAACTAAAGAAAACACGATAAAGAAAGAAACAGACATTTAGGGGAACTATGAAAGAACCAAAACAGAAACAAGGCTGATCTGAAAAATATAAAATAAGGATCACAGAAACTAGAATAACCCAAAGGACTAACAAAGAAATAAACCTAACTAGAGTCACCAAGGATGAACTCTGACATAGAAGAATGACTAAAACAAGAGTAACAAGATAACTGGGAACACTACGATGGGGCTGAAATAAAGAAACACAAGAAAGAGAAAGATCTAACAAGATATCAGTAACAACAAATAATAAGACAACAAAGAGTGAACTAAAACAATGTTAAGAATATGAACAGCAAAACCAAACCAAGAAACCAGTCTTGACAATTTTCTCTCTCATTATTGGGACATTTAGCAAACAGAACTAATTTTGGTATTTCAAACCAAACTAAAATAAGAGATGTTTGGTCTGATTTGACTTTGTGCAATGAGGGAAAAAAAAATGTGTTTGTCTTTTTATTCCACATATATAAACTTTAGGTTTCTACTGCATTTCTCTAGCATTTCCATTAAACACAGTTCTTAATTAAGACTTAAATTTGATTAAATTAGGAGAACAAGCTGCTATGGGCATATTGCATAATGATGTGGAAAAATTAACCCAGTAAGTTTTTCCATTAAACAAGCAAGACATGGAAAATTATCCAAGGATCTAAAAGATTTCTGAATGCATTTCTTGTCCGCTCTGGCTTTGTGCATAACTCTGACCCATATTCACTCCTGCTACTTACCGAGTCTGTGAACTTCTCGATGAGGCTGGGCAACCGCAGCCATTGAGACAGCCATGCTCAAAAGGGGAAATTAAGGCCAACCGTCTCTCTTTTTCTCTCTCTCAGCTAAATCAGAAATCTACAGCAATTCACAGGAAGCAGTTAGTAGCACAGCGTTAGAATTGACACATGCGCCAATCAACAATGAATTACATTTAGAGGCAATGATGATGAACAACATGCAGAGAATCACAGGACATATTAACAATGACTTGCAAAATTATTCAGAAGCACTGAGATATGCATTTATTTATTTATTTTATTTTCAGATTTTGTTACACTAAAAACACAAACTTCAGTGTATTTTAGTGGAATATTATGTGGCCGACCAACACAATATCAACTGTTATTTACTTTTTTTCCCCAAAATTAAAAGTCTGAAAAGTATGGTGTGCAGCCTTACTTACTTTGATAGTCCTAAATAAAATCCAGAGCATTAAACTTATTTAAGAAGTTTACATTTTTTTGTGTCTCAGCATAAACACAGCTGTTCCATTAAGGTTTGGGGGGGGTTATTTGAGAACATTAATGAACAAACAGGATCACAAAGTCCAAGCCAAATACCTCAGACTGGGGCATAGGGTGGGCAGCGACCCACAGTGAACCCTCCTTCTAAATCCTTTCTGACTGCACTTGGCGATTCTTATTTTGCAAAGATGTATCGCCACAAAAGTTAGTCTCTGAATGTGCAAAGCTGGTTGAGACATAACTCAAAAGATTAGGCTGCAGCTAATGCTTAATTTTACTAAAAAAAAAAAAAAATAGAAGAAATCCTGAGGACTGTCTATAAAAAGCACAAATAACTTCAGATTTTTTTGTAAAGAAGAAGAAAAAAAGAAAACATCTCATCTACAGTTTGTTCTGGTCTATCGCCTAAGATCCCAGGGAAATACACTGAAATGTTTGGTTGTAACATAAAGAAAGGGCTTTGAATACTTTTACAGAAGTCATTTGAACTCCATAAAGCACAATCTACTCTACAATGATGATGTAATTATGAAGGCAGACAATAAATGTAATTAAATCACTTACTGAAGCTGTTGAATTACAGTAATATTTAGATGCTTTCTAAAAGCTGGACCAGTTTTAGTAAATTACCCATATATATATGAGAAGGATACAGGAAAAGATCTAAATACAGTTAAAAGCAAAACCTTTTTTTGCAATGTAACTTTTAAGAGTTTTGTCCCAATGAGAGACAAAAGTACATTTTTACTCTCACATTGTTTCTCGCAAACTCTTTAAATTCAAACAACCTTTATTACTTAAGAGGCCCAGCATGTTTGTGTCCAGTGGCTCCATCACGCCGAGGCAGCGCAGGAGCAGAATGTTCAGCTGAGGAGTCCCAGCGAACCGAGACCCTCTCCAAAGCGCCTAAAATAGCGCGGAAGCTTGGCCCACGAAAACCCCTGACCTTTGCTGCTTGTACCATCACCTCGGATTTGAACAGGTTGAGAGTACAAACAGACCAGAGTCAGGCCCGAGGTGGCCGGACTTTCACAAACAAGCTGCAGCACAGCAGACACCGCCGGGGCGCGCCACACAACGTGAGATCGTGCAAAGTAAATGAGTCAGACCTGATCTCTTCGATCGGGCTTTAAATTCCAAGAGTTTCCATCCGACATCTGCTAGACTCGCCATGTTTACTCTCAGTCAATTCTGCCGGCACTTAACAGCGTTTCTGCTTTCTGCCCTTCAAAGTAAAACGCCTATGGCTGCGAGTTACAGTCAGGACGGGAATAAATTACATTTCAGTGACTTTGGAGGAAAAGTAACAAATTAAGTATTTTATGGTATGAAAAATGATTAGGTTTGGTTTTAAATGTTCAACTTTAAGAATGAAATGCACTTATTTTGAAGAGCAAGAGCAATACTTCCTTCGATACCATTCTCCAGCTTCAAACGCCTGTCTTCTGTCAGGCAACCAGTTTGCACGACATTGACGTAAATAATATAGTCATTTCATAAAAAAGAAAAATTGGTGTATTTTTTTATTTTGCGAAAACTAACTTATGATAAAATAATAACACAAACAATCTTTACAGATCATCTGAATAATACTTATTGTATTCAGAAGATGGTTGTGTTCCTCCCAGCCGTAAAGCGGTGTGCCGTATTCCGGTTGGTGAATGTTGTGGAGCTGCACTTGTACCAGGATGCGGATGTTTACCTTAAATACCTTTTTAATAACGTTTTTGTTACTTTTATTGGAACAACGAGGCACCTTTGCTCTTCAAGATGTAACGGTGGAGCTGTTCGGGACCAACAAGTATGGGACGGTGGCGGCGTTTGGTGACTTCAACTCGGATAAACAGACTGACATCTTTGTCATCAGAGAGCGTATGTAATGCTGCTGTCATTAGCGACCTGGCGCACATCTAGTCAGATGAATATAAATATACTTTTATAGTAATAAGGATAAATTGTCGGCCGATGTGTTTTTTTTTAACGAGTATTAATTTTTGAGGGGAAAAACGTACCTGTAACTCGGTCGCTTGTCAAATGTAAACTTCCTTTTTTAGTTAGGTTAAAAAATACTTCAAAATATATACTTTTTTACAGCCGTAAATGCGCGGGCGGAACATTTTGATACACCATAGATGCCAGTCATGCAAGTTTCCCCCTCATCTAGCACAAATAATAAAAAAATGATGGGAGTGTAAATCACATTTAAAATAACTAGCAATGCAATTATTATGTTTGATTTAAAGTAGGTTTTATCCACTTTTTTAGTAGTTGAAATCCGGAGAACTTCACTTCTTATCACATACTTTTGAATATTCGTCAATGACAGGCTGCTTGTCCATACCAGGGGTTTGTTGTGGTGGGTAACAGATCTCTTTTAATTCTGTGTTATCTTCCAACTTTTGCAGAATCTGAGGTTGTGATTTTGTTGGCTGACTCCAAGTCTCCTTACTTCAAGCCCAAAGTTAACATCACCAAGGACATGCTTCCAGGGTAAATATTCTCAGAAATAACATCTTTTTTGTTTGCTTTTGATAAGTAACTGTATAAGTGGTACATTCAATGTTTATAACTGACGTTTGCTTTAGTAATGAGGCAAATTTGGCCACTGGCTATCATCTCAGTTGCCCTCTTTCCTTTTCCAGGGACACAAAAATTACCAGTGTTGTTCCTGGAGATTATGATGGAGACTCTCAGATGGATGTCCTTCTGACAACTCTGGACAAAAATTCAAAAACATCTGTTTTAATTTTCTGGGGAAACAACCACACATTAGGTAAATATTAACAATAAATTATAGCTTAGATTGAATTCCTTCTTTCTGTTTCTTTTTTTTCACAAAATGTATGTTGTAAATACAGTAGTGTTAAAGTGTTTTTGCCACCTTGTGCTATTCTTCAGTTTTGCTTTTTCCTTTAGTCACGGTTTGATTTTTTACATCATAAAACATTGTTAATTTTGGAAAAATATGATCTAAATAATAATAAAGATAGTTTTCAAATTATTGCACTTTTTATCAAGGGGAAAGAAATTAATAAAGTCCTCTACTACGTGAAAAAAGAAGCTAGTTTTTCTGTGGTTAGCAGGAATCAAGGGTTTCCAATAACTGGCAATTAATCACAACTCAGCATGAAGAGCGTTTCTAAGGTCAGATTATATTACCAAGCTTATATTGATGTCCAGACTTTGTCTAGGCCACTCCAAAACCTAATTTTGCTGGGGTTTCTAGTCATTTGCCAATGTGCTTTGGCTCATTCTCCTGCTGCATAACCAAAGTGGAATTGGGACAGTATGGCTGGACTTTCCTCCTGAAGGATGTTATGGTAGAAAGCAAAATTCGCGTTTCCATCTGTGATGGTAAGTCGTCCAAATCTTGAGGAAGTAAAGCAGCCTCTAACTCTAACTCTACCAGCACTGAGTTTGACTGTCAATGTGATGATCTGTTTCTGAGATGCTTTCTTAGTTTTTGGTCAGACTTAATACAACTCACACGTTCCATAAAAGTTCATCTTTTGATTCGTCAAAAGAAACAAAAGGTGAACTTAGCCCCTTCACTTATTATTAAACAATGAACTTTGACACAAACTGACTAGCTTGAGGTCTGCAGAGCTTTAGATGTTGTTTTAGACTTCCTTGTTGGATAGTTGATGTGCAGTTGGTTCAAGTTTGATTGAACAACCTCTCTTATGAAGGTTCACCACTGCTGGAGGTTTTTCTCTGGTTGTGAATTTTGGTTTGCTGGCCTCCCAAAGTTTAAAAATGGCTTTGTATCCTTCATTAACTCTGTTTTTATACTACTTTTTCTTTTAGATGATGTGATGCTTTTAGAGTCCTTTCTGGTGTTGGGGAGCTTTCCAGAAAAATACTTTAATCAGAGTTAAATTATGTTAATTTAAGAAGGGACAATAACTTGTTTCCAGGTTTGGATGCCTTTTTGTTCACCTTGTTAAATGAAATCATAATTTAAAACCTTTTTTTTTTATTCCACTGAGGTTATTGTTGTCTAACAGTAAAATGTGTTGTCTGATAGAAAAGCAGAAGATGTTATTAATGGGTAAACACTTTTCCACCTCCTCACTTAATGAATTTAGTTGAAATATATTGTGAGCGATTGCATGGTTTGCAGAACTAGAGCCACTGATAGAAGCTGTTCTTATTGTGCTTTCCCCATATTGCTGATAGCAGATTGTTTCTAGTATCCAATAAATGACTCTGCACTGTAAATAGTTGAAGATTTTATGTTTGTTTCCAAATCTCTCAAATACAGACTTTATGTTTCAGCTGTGTTGTTAATACACTAAGTGTAAACAGCTTGTGTTTCCATATTGTTGAGACAAATCCAGTTTTTTGATTCTTTCCAGATTTTCTTCATTGTTGTTTTAACGTAATCATTCTTCAGCATGAAAATAAATCACATCTTTAAGCAGAATTGATCAAAGCATTGAGAGGAGAAAAACGGTTCTCCTGTCTGGTGTTCATATCATAGCTGCTGGATGTCAGTCGGGCTAAAAGTTGAGCTCCAAATGGAAAATAAAAATTCAAAGGCGAAACAAACTCCTTAGTTAATTTATTAAAAATTTTATTTAAACTGGAACACAGTGCTTGTTATCTAGTCAGCAGTTTAAGATCATTCAGGCAAAAAATTTGAGTTACACTTGGATATCTTTTTGCCTTCAGTACTTGAGGTGGTCGATAAAAAGCTGCTAAAATACCCTTGCTAGCTAATTAGCTTTTTAAAATGTCTTTTATAGGTAAGTGTAAATGTATCACCCATTGACAGGATGACATTTGTTTGTGCCACCGGCTTGCTTCTCTTGCCAACCCCCAAGAGCCAGCAGGATTCCTCCTATATCGTCCCCTATATTAACAGATTTTTTGGTCTCAAATTTCATTCAAGCTGGCATTTAAAAGGTCTTAAAAAGACGTAAATTGACTTGCTGAAACCTGCAGGTGCCTTGGCTGTGATTTAATTGATAAAATAATTTTTAAGCACACGGTTATCTCAAAGGTTTTATTTCGAGGCACTACGGGGCCACATAAAAACATCTGGCAGGCCAGATCTGATGTATGTGTGTGGAGAAACCAGTTTAGAGCAAACAGAAATGTTTTCAGGGATGATTGCCTTTCGTCAAGAGTTCTGCCCCTTGCAACGTGTCAACATATTCCACTCTGCTTTTTTGCTCAACCAGAAGCTTCCTTCTTTTGTTGAATAAATGGATTTTCCTTCACTCTGCTGTGTAGAAAGTAGAGAATTTTTGTCATGCCAGTGACATTGGAAACCTTCAGAAGAAGAGTCTGTAATAAGTTACTCTTTAGAAAATCAAAATTTCTTTCACCTTTTTGTGTCCCATGCTCGGCAAAGTCCAAAGGGCCAAATTCTTGGAGTGGGAGGAAATGTATTTTGTTCTTTTAGGTGCCATCTTATGGATTTGGGCCGCAGTCGGCATCAGTAAAGGCTTTAACTTACATTTGGGATTTGCCTATGTCTTCCTGGAAACCCCACTGGATCTGCTGGATCAGCACAGGACCTTTCATTCTCCTTAGTTGTGCAGCTCTGCAGTCCTCTGGAAAATCTTTTCCCCTTTGCTATCCGGGGTTTATGAGAGAAAATATTTGACAAAAACAGGACATAAAACTCAAATGTCTGCACATATGTAGCCTTTTAGTGCCATAGATTAAAATTATTTTAGTTTAAATGCAGTTTTCAATCATTTGTTTGTTGCCTTTCTCCTGTTTAAGTCTCATTTTACCAGTCAGACTCTGCTGCCTTCATTTCACCTTTGTAACTCATTACCTGTCTTCTGTGGTTTTTTTCTGCAGAAACCTCTAAGTGGTATACCATAAATTTCACCTTTACAGATCAGCCTCTTGTTATGGAGTAAGTATTAGTTTCAAGGTTTTTCGCATACATTATGCTGGGAATATTTTAAAAAGTAATTGCAGGAATATACCAATGTCCCTAATGGGTTTTTCTTTCCCACAGTTTCAATGGCGACATGATTCCAGATGTCTTTGGGGTGACCACGCCTCCCAAAACTGTAGTCTGTTATCTTACCGAAAGGTAAGATAATACACATTTCTTGGCTTTGTCATTAACTGCTATTCTCTAACTTATTCAGAATAATATAAAATCATATTTTCCCCCCCCCACTTTAGGATTCAAGAGTGCAGGAATGATTTTAATAAATCAATCAAACTGCGCACTCCTCACTCTAATGCTTTCATTGACCTCAACAAGGACTTCACTGCTGGTGAGTATCCGATCATTTATCAAGTTTCTGATAAGAAAAAGATGAAAAATGTGTTTTGTTTGACAGCTCAAACCAACTACTTTATGTTAGTCGGCTAGAGAAGCTGAATGAATGGCAATGGAAACATATAAAGCTGCATTTTCCTCACCCAATTAGTGTTTAAGTTTTTTTTTCTTGGGTACTTATTATGTTTATTACTATTTTGTTTTAAAACAGTGTCTGTAAAAGCATCTGATTCTGTGGTTGTATTCCCAAAGCAGCCCTGATTACCACACAGCTGTAACCGGAGCATTTCAGTAATAAAAACTGACAGCTCCAAAATTACACCAAGACTGACTGCAGGCAGAAACCTTAATACATCTGCCTGTGAGTGTTGTTTTCTATTAGTCTGGTGATATCAGTGCTTGTTGTCACCGAGATTAGTACAGTCAAATTGGAGTTTTTGTTCTCAAATGAGCTTAAAATTGATTATTGGACAACTTACATCACTAAAGAAATAAAAAAACAAATTATCAGATTTTGCTAAGGACTTCAACATTTAAATGTCGATTCATTACATAGATTTTAACATGTTAAAATTGTTTGATTAAAACACGATTTTTTTCAGCTTATGCAAGGTTCAGAAGGGATCCATTGTGGTTTACACACAGTTTTTTCAAAGGTTTTAGTTCGTTTCACACAGTGCAGTGTGAAAGTGAACTGCAGCAGCTGAAAATGTGACAAATGTTGCAACTTTGGTACTCAGTCAAACCGAGTCTACCAGACTAAACACTCCTAGACCATTCGTCCTCGGAAAACTGTTCAGGTTCTGTCAAGTTGCATGTGGATTGCTTTTGAACAGCCCTTTTCAAGTTCTGCCACAAATTCTTCAGGACTAAGCCCTGGGCTTTGACTGGGTCACTCCAGAACGTCCAGCTTGATGTTTTCAAACACTTTCTGTCCAGCTTTAGTTTGGCGCTTTGTGTTGTTAACATAACAGAAGTAAAATGTTCTCCAAAGCAGACGGAAACTGCATTCGTTTCACCTTCATTTGCTTAGAAACATCACCAAAGTATGACACTGCCATTTCCGTGCTTCACACTGGGAATGTTGTGTTGGTGGTGATGTACATTTGCTGTCCGTAGTTTTTTATTTTGTAGAAATCTGTTTTCACTTTAACGTCCTTAATGTCAAAGGGGATTATTATCCTTTTTTCTTTTTGTAAAAAGGCCAAATTTTGATGATCATGATTGATGTGCAAAAAGCAATACAAATGGTAAAACATCCGAGGGGTGGAGTAGTTTTTATAGCCAACGTACAATTTGTACATATATATACCAATCAGTAGAGCATGGGGGATATTTGTGGTAAATCTCTAACTTTTTATGAGCAGTCAGCCCTTTTTACATTGCATTGGACAAATATGTAGCGGAGACGTAAGAAAATTAATTGGAGAAATCTGAAGAAAAAAAAAACAAACAAAAAACTGCACATCTGGTGGGTTTTTACTCCTGGCTGCTGCTGTTTGTGAGGGGTGGCTCACAGAATGCAGGAAGAAAAAAAAGTGAGAGAGAAAAATAGGCAGGAAGCGATGGAGCGATGAAGCTCAGCTGGAAAGGAGAGATGGTTTGAAAGAAGAGGATGGCTGGAAAGATAAAAGAGGGATGTGAGGGTGGGAGACGAGCTTTTAGAAAGGCTCAGTTCACTGTCTGTGGAGGCCACCTGCTCCTCTAAGCGCTACCGACTGGAGCGTCACAGAATGTAGCAGAGAGAGCTTGAGTTTCTAAGATGGGCAGGTTTGTTCTTGTCAGCTGGTTCTCCCTTCATTGGATGACGAGAGTATTTGCTATGCTACTTAAAAAACCCCTGACAGTTAAATTTTAGATGTAGATTTCAGGCACAAAAATATAATCCCCAGATTATATGTTGAAAACAAATTCATATCATTCTTTTCACATTCTTATCTGCACCAACCTTTTGCCATGTTTCCTGTTTTTCTTTTTACATCTCTAGCCTTTTTATTTTTTAGTCTATCAAAGGAAATACAAACACTGAAGTAAATACTCTGACAAAAGCTGGAAAGGTTCAAGAGAGAGTAACATCCTGCACCCAGCGGTACGGTCTTACAGCTGCTTTGTGTTTTACCTGCTGGGTATTAAGTGTTGTACCTTCATTTTTTGATTGACATATCTTTTTGCACAAAAATGTGGTTGCCTATCAGGATTCCTTACAAAGAAACTGTAAGCTGGAGGACTGAATTAATTTCTCGTATTATGCTTGAAGCCACATACCAGTAGTTAGTTTTTTAAAATGTTAAAGTGAGAACAGCCCACAACCACTCTTAAAATAAGGGCTCTCGCATGAGAAGAAACATCTGGGTCATGAAGTTTCCACGTTAACAGCGTTTCTTTTTTTTTTTTTTTTCTTTTGTGTAATTCTGCTGGGATGAAAGGAGTAGGCGGCCTAAAATGTAGACATCTTTATAAATTAATCTGCATGGATATGTTAATTATTTGTTGTTTTAAAGCTTTTCAATTGCTTTGACCCTTTACCAGTGCAAATCTTTATCTTGTGATTTTATTCAGTGTTTCTATGCTGAAACGGACGCGGTTCCCCATCCGACCAATCAGAGAAGCAGCACACTCGGTCTTTTACTGGTGCCACTAAAGAACAGGAAGGACGGTTTCACTGCAGTGTCAGGACTCCAATCCTGGTCTGCTCAGTGTCGTCATTGTAAACAGTTTCATAATGGTATATTGGCTGACCCCACTATATCATCAGTTCCAGCTAAGGAAGGAAAAAAAAAACTGGAATTGTTTCCTGGCTAATGTCATGGCCTCATTTAGCCTGCTTATTGGTCTCTCAGGCCGAGCAGCCTGGCGGTGACAGTGACATATAGCATTCGGCCCATAATCTTTTCATAGTGTTATTTTTTTGGCAGCCATTACCTCTAACAGCAGTATATTGATATCAGATTAGTGTTTTTTTCCCCTTTCTTTTACTGCCAGTTAATTTGTGTTTGTCAAACATATCAAGAGATTTTAGACCTTGATAAACCTCGTTGATTTTCTTGTTTTTCGACAAACACTTCTTGAAACATTTGAAAACCAAATAGGTGTAATAACACTTTGCAACTGCCTGATGGCTGGACAACTTAAATAACAGATTACAAAACAATAAATATCTGTGTTGTTGAGCTCATCTGTCTAATTATTCAGTAATTTAGCAGAAAAAAAGATTTTTGAATTGAGAACGTAGCTGTCTTTGTCAATTACATGGTTTTCGATTAAATTATGTGATTATTTACAGACCCTGCAATTTAAAATTTAAAATTTTAATTGAGTCCCACCACTAGATTAAAACCATGATATACATTAAAACTGGTAACTGGCCTTCTCCTGTTATATTCAGGAAGTCTGTCATTTGAAGAGTATTATTATGGCTCCAGGCGTCACATCACATGTCTGAAGAAAATCTGTGGAGCAGGAGCCTACCAGCAGCTTGATTAGAAACTTTGTTGAGAGAAAATGTTGTAATTGCACAGTACTTATAGATGGTGTTTTGTGAGAAAGGCATGCACAAAGACCACAATACTGGCATAAGGATTCATTGCTAGGCAACAGGGATGGTAATTCTCTGCAGCATTCAATTAAACTACCTCTGTGTTGAAGTGGCTTGTTGATCGTCTGACTAATATCACAGGGGTGGTGGGAGAAGAGAGCAGATTTGCCACCTAACAAGGCTGGCCGAGAAGAGCAGTTGCTTGTTCATAAATTCTGTTTACATTTTACTGGGCACTGTAGCAAAAATTTTAGTTTTGCTTGTCACGACATGTAAGGATATTGCATGAGTTTTAAACTTACCAGTAACCATAGTAGTAATGTCTGAAATATGCTGCTTAGCTTTTGCTGGTAAACTGTCTAAATATATTTCTCAGCCCCCTTAGCTCCGTAATCCCAGGGAAACTCTTCTGTTTTGCAATTTTATGCTATCTAAAGAAGTTAAAAACTGGGAGGCTTGTCACTAATTCAGATTTCAACACACACTTTAATTTCTAAATATTTTCCCTCCAGTACTGATCCCCTTTCAGATCACAGGTCTGCAATAAACATGGTCCCACAAACCAACCATTACGAATGATTTTTATATCCATTATATTATGCAAGTTTATTTTAGATTTGAAATCCTGTGTGCTTTCAGAACAGACAGTTGAGATTGCAGAACCAAGGGTAGTGACTTACTACTCACAGTTCAATATGTATGAGGGGAATTTAATAAATGGTTGAGCTTTTTCACTCCACTGTGTTAAATATATGCAAAGTTATGTATTTTCTTTAATAAGAATCTTTAGGCTCTTGGGAATTTCAGAGGACTAAAGTGGAATAAATGGATTGAATACATAACATTGACACATAGACCCTTTAATACAGATCTATCACTGCATTTGTAACTAAAACTAGATCCTTCTTAGCAGAAGGATCTAGTTTTGCTCTCCATCAGAAAATTCTTTGGTGTTAAAGTAATAGTCTAACTTCACAAGTTGTTTTGCCTATTCTGAATTGTGGAGAAGCTTCAGTGTTGCTAGCTTGGTGGGCTTTCAGTGTTGTTTTACTTCAACCTTCATGTCAAAACCTGTTGAAACATTTGTTTTTTGGGTTTTTTTATATTTCTGGCTGAAATATTTCAAAGGCTGGACGTTAAATCTGTGTATTAACATTTGACAACACGGGTCGATTTTTGCTTTTCTTTTATCATAATTCATAAGTTACATTTACAATTTTGTTGTTTTAGATATATTTTCTTGAATAACGCACTGTATGCAAGGTCATTGTAGTTTTACCAGAATGAGTGAACCATCATGGCTTTGTACTGTTATAATGGACACTGCATTTGATGGCAATATCCAGTGATACTTAAGGTGCTCAGACTTGTGAATCCACATGACATTCTTGTCTATGACATGAGCTGACAACAGCTTGTTACCGTAGCTTCTGAGAGGAGTTTCTATTTACGCAGACGTG